TATGACAGATCCTTTCTTGCACACTTTTGGCTCTAATTCTAGATAGTTTATTTATATACATACACACAATTGCTTTGTTGATGTTAGTCAAAAAATAGTTCATGTTAAATGTGGTTTTAGCAGTGCTCCTGATTCAGCCTAACAAACGGCCTCTCATTATAAACTGTCGTGGGAACCTGCAGTCTGGCTCACAGAGAGCTCACACAGCCCAGTTACTTGGCTGCAGTAAGTGTGAGTGGATGAACCATCCTTACGCTGAACAACCCCACGCCTTTGAGGTTTTGAGGTAAAGAGATAACAGTCCAAGAAGGCAAAGTGAAAAAGATAGGACAGTATCAGGTGGAGAGAGGCAGACATGTTCTTGAAAGAAATCTAAGAGAAAGCCTAGACTTTGCCTCGCTAATCTTTTACCAAATTAAGCATTTAATTCAGTTGGCCAAAGTGGTTTTTTTTTTTCCTAAGCCTGATATGTAATCATTTTATCAAAGGTTTGGGTGGCTTCTAGGAAAATGTAGGGGATCAAAAGCTTCTTGTACATTTTCATGTTAATATTTAATCAGGATAAAATACCAGAGTTTTAGAAATTCTATACTTTTATTCATGAACTCTGTAAAATTTGGAAGAAAAGCAGTTGAGGCCAGTGGTATTGCCATCATCCTTTTCCACTGCTTCCTGCCCTAGTCTCCTCCATCTCTGGATGCTTCAGTACACACCATCCTCAAAGCCAGCAATGGAAATGAACCCTGAAGGTGTGCAACAACATGCTGGCTCCGATGAAAAGCTCAACTCCATTTTTCCTGCCATTAAGACCAAAAGTCTTGGTGACACTGTTGACTCTCTTCTTTTTCTCACTCTCCTTAAATCCATGGCATATTCATCCAGAATCATCTTCCTGTCGCTCCAGCTCTTATACGTATCACTTATCTAGTGTACTCCAAGCCACCCATTTCTCATCTGCAAAATGGTGATACCCTTCTAACTAGTTTCTCGGTCTCCCTTTTCCCCCTCCAGTCCAGATTACACGTCAGTTAGTGTGATCTTTTTCAGATGTAAGGGAATGTCCTTCCTCTGTTCAAGACGGTCTTAACCCTTCCCCATACAACTTGGAATAAAATCCAGAGTCACTGCCGTGGCTTGCAGGGAATGCATGCTCCCTCTGATCTGTCGTCACTGCGTCCCATCTCCTTCAGCACTCTTATTTACTCCCTCTGCTCCAGTGATAACCTTTTATTTCCTAAAAGACAGCAAAAGCAGTTCAAACAAGGCCTTTGCATGTACTGGTCTCTCTACAGAGCTGTTCCCCAAATCTCCATATGGCAGGTTCTCCTACTACAGAAAAGTCACATTATCACAGAAACCTTCTGTGACTCCTTCTCTTAAAGAGGCCCCCATCCCTCGCTGTATCTTCCCCATGTTTTCATTTCCTCCTTGGCACTTACCACCTCCTGGCATACTGTATTTCTTATGTTCACTTGTCTTCATGTCAGTCTCTACTCTCTAGAATGTAAGCTCTATGAGAGCAGGGGCTTTTTTGTTTTCTCCCGTAATTCCAGTGCCTACAATAACACAGAGAAAATGTTCAACTAATATCTGATAAATATTATGAATAAATTCACCCTTATAATTTTTTTGGATCATTATTAACAATGTACTTGGTGAAGCTTGGGAAAATCTAGATCATTCAGTAGAATTAAATCGTTGAATTTGAGGTTTGAAAGAGTCCTTACAGGTCATCTACTGTCTTCCTAGAGGGTTGGCCAATTTACGATAGGATTATTTTCAGTGGACAAAAAACTCTCTCCATTGTTAGGTTACCCATTTTGATTTTGCATGGATTTACCTTAAGTTAAATGAATCTAAATCTGGGTAAATTATACACCTTGGTCTTCATTTTTGGAATCCACAGGGAAAAGAATAAACTAGAAAATAAAAAGATACAGAAGAGTGAAAAAAAAAGATGCAGAAAATGCATCTTTTTAATGGAACTTTGCAATATTTCAAGTTTAATTGTACCTAAAGAGATATTTATCTGATTCCCAGAAACCTAGGAGGAAGAATGCTACTTCATTTTCTATAGAGACACCCAGAGAAGTTTGTATTGGCTATTAGAGCTTTAGTAGAGAATGCATTGGTTAGTATTGCTGTGTAACAAATCACCCCAAAATGTAGTGGCCTAAACAACTCTACTTCTTATTTCTCACAAGATATAAGACTCTGCTGATGTCAGCTGGGCTCACTCATGTGTCAGTTGTTAGCTGGTGGATTGGCTAGGGGCTAGTTGTTCAACGATGACCTCTGCTAGAAAGAAAACATTCCTCCACGTGTCTCTCATAGATCTTCAGCAGGGTATATTCTCATGGCAGTGGCAGAAGTCCCAGAAAGGAGGTAGAAATGTACAAGCACCTTTTCAAGCCTCTCTTCTGTTTCAAGTTTGCTGTTGTCTTCTTTTGCCATATTACTGAGGCAGAGGCAGAATGGCAGAGGACCACCAAGTGAGATGGCAGAGTATGGATAAAAAGAGGCCATGGACTGAGGCCATTAGTGCAGTCAATCTACCACAGATCAAATGCACAAGAGGAGAGAGTTTGACTTAGAGATAAAATATAAAGGAAGGGAGTGAAAAGAAGGAAAGAGATGGAGAAAACAGAATAAAAATGAAAGATGGCTAGATAAGGGAAGAGATAAAGAGAGCTAGAAGAGATGGGGTAGATAATGTGAAGAGAAGAGAAGCTAGGATGTCTGCAGATCCAAGACATGTGACCTGAAAAACAAGCTCTCATATGATAATGTAATATTCATAACAATATAATAGAATTTTCCAGTTGATAACAATATAAACTCAAGCTCTGCTTTGAGTATGGGAAAGAAGAAGTACAATTAATTACCACAGAATTATCTGGTAAAATATTTCATACCTTGCAGAGGAAAACTGTAGTCATAGATGTTGTAAGAATGAAAGCAAGTAACAAATCCAGCAGCAAAGCTTTCATACTTACTCCTAAGCAGGCATCTATTAATGATGCTGTTTAAAAATTATGAGCTTGTCTTATTAGGATATACAAAATATAACTTGAATTGGAAATATTTTCTGTGGCTTCCTATCCCTTTGCCTTTTCTTCTTTCACTGTAAGTCTGTCTTAAATATAAATTGCACTTATATTAGCATTCTTCAACATGGAGTATAAACTGGGTAATAATATAATGTACCCTAAGAAAAGGGATTACGCACATTGATACTGAGTATGGCTTAGCAATTACCATAAATAAATTATATCAGAGTTTCATTTAGTAAATGAACTTTTAGGGAGAAAAATCTTGGTTTGATTTTGTTTGTTTCTGTTGTCCAGATATCAGAATACTTCTTAATGGTGGTTAAGAACTGGACACACTGATATAAAACTGGCAATACTACAACATTGTTCAAGAGAGGACTGATTAGTACATAAAAGGAAAATATCTTCCATTTACTATTTTGAGATAATTCCACCAATTTCAGAAACATTAAAATTTCCTCTTAGTTTCAACAAAATAACACTTTTTACAACTTCATGATGTCAGGGGCAAAAATAAGCAGTACAGTCCTTATTACATCTTCTCTCCAAGTTATTTTCCTTCTTTTTTTTAAATTTACTTATTTTATTTATTTATTTTTGACTGCGTTGGGTCTTCGTTGCTGCGCCCGGGCTTTCTCTAGTTGCGGAGAGTGGGGACTACTCTTTGTTGCGGTGCACGGGCTTCTCATTGCAGTGGCTTCTCTTGTTGCGGAGCATGGGCTGTAGGCACGCAGGCTTCAGTAGTTGTGGCACGTGGGCTCAGTAGTTGTGGCTCTCAGGCTCTAGAGTGCAGGCTCAGTAGTTGTGGCACATGGGCTTAGTTGCTCCGCAGCATGTGGGATCTTCCTGGGCCAGGGATCGAACCTGTGTCCCCTGCATTGGCAGGCGGATTCTTAACTACTGCAACACCAGGGAAGTCCCCTATTTTCCTTCTTTTTTATTGCCATGCTGTTTATTATGGCTTATACAACCATGTCTGATCTAATATGATCTTTAATGGCCCACAGATGGCCCACAATCTGCTTATTCTACTTAAAAGATTTGTTCGTGCATTTATCCTTCCATATTGTTTCTTGTCCCTTTATGTATTGAAGATGTTTTCATCCCCATTTTCATTTCTATAAAACTGGTAGTAAAGATAGTAATCATATCTCCAATGATTCTTTTCTAAATCTAGAAAAAACGGCTCCAAGAGTTTGTCTCATTTATAACTGTTGTATCATGTTTAATATATTCTCAGTGTGTCCTAATTTTTTAAAACTGTACACATTATAAATGTCTATAATATGCAGATTTGGGCTCTATTGAGGTTTAAATTTAGGAAATATGACCTTGAACTGAACCATAATAATTCATAAGTTTTCCATATGAGTTTTAACCAGAATAGTGGAGTTCAACATCCATTAAGAAACAATTGCCAAATTTCACTATATATTAATCAACAATGATATTGTTACATATATATTTAGGAATGCACTTATTATCTTTCTCTAGGTTTTATATCTATAAGGCCACTTGTAAACAAGGATTTTTTAAAACTATGAAAATGTATATATAATAGAATCTTTGGGGAAAACAAATGGTACAAAAAGAATCTCTATTTCTGTAATGATAGCCCGCACTACGTGCATTCATGGTGTGCCTATAAGTGTGAGAAGTTTTCAGTATTCAACATCAGTTAGATTCTCTGAGAATCTGTTACTTTCATCATCAAGTAGCCCTGTCTGTAGGACCAGGAAGTCTCTTGTCACTTTAACCCATCGAATAGCACTAAACAGATGTTATTTTTAGGTGTTGTATGCTTTTCTTCTCTAATGTTTCCTGCTCTCTCTCTTCCTTCATCTCCATAATCAAATTTTATCCATTAAACAAGATGGTCACATTCCCCACACCTACCCCAAATGAAATTCAAATCTAACTCACAGCAATCTGCTTTTTCTTTTCCAGATTCCTGTCTTGGTCACACAGATAAGTTCGACCAATCACCCAGTGAAAGTGGGGCTGTCAGATGCATTTGTCGTTGTCCACAGGATCCAACAAATTCCCAGTATGTAGAAGAAGGGTAATGGCAGAGTCTGAGCCTGCTGTGGGGTAAATTTAAAGGAGATTGATCTAGGGCAGATGTGACTCTTTGAACAATCGAATCACATAGCTAATTGCTGCTTGTTAATTATACTGTTTGGGTTGTAAGTCTTTTTGGCATTTGCTATCTCTCTGTTAGTGCTGAACTAATAATTTAGGTGAAGTGAAGTTAAATAGCCAAGCCAAGAGAATTTGGATTCTTTGGAATAATTAGCTTGGTTGTGCAGATATATTTCTTTTATTAATAGGAAGAGGAACGTAAAAGAGTGACAGATCATTTGATTGATAGGTGTATGATTGTTTATTTCATTTAAATAAATTTATCAGCAAAAGAACAGCCTTGTACCATTTCATGTTTAACATGTTTGTATAAAACTGTTTGAGAGTCTAAAGGAAGATTTTCAAAAAGTATAAACTGAGGTTAAAAAAATCTTGATGGAGCCATACCTACCACACAATGTATTTTATTTTCTTTGTTTAAATCATTTTTGCCTGTCTAATCTAGTTTACATTTGTAGAATAAAAACATATATGTTACTTTGGGCATCTGTTCATCATATTAGAAGTCCAAATTGTAACTGCTATTTGTAGTAGTTCTGATCATGTAAATAGCCCTCTTTTGAAAGCTTCTGTTTTTTAAAACCTCCTTCTAGTTCAAGAACAGCCCTGAGGGTTGCTTGGGTATGTTAGTACCAAAGGTGACTGTTTGTGTCCCAGATGTACTTATGTAAAGCAAGAGGTTATGATACATCTCAAGATTAGATCATTCCTTTCCCTCTTGCTCAAAGTTCTTGAGCAAAATTCTTTATTTCATTATAGTGGTAGACTTAATTTATCACATGCATATGCTGTTTGGTCTTGACTTGAACTAATTTTGTTTGTGTCACCTCAAATATAGAAAGTAAATGACATGGAAATTAGACTTTTCAGAGCAGAGGATTGGCTGGAAACATTATAGGGGTTATCTTACAATTACGGTTTAGAATGACATTCATATGTGGCAGTTCTGCTTGGTGAAGACCGTGAATCTTCCATGGCTGTTTCTCCTTATTAGCTGAGAATTTGCGGGAGGTAATATTCCAGCCACCTGTTAAATCAAGGCAGATTTTCCAGAAACAAACCTGTACTGTGAACAAAGCAGAGATATATCCTTATGTGTAGGCAACATAAAGACATCCTGACAGAACTCTTAGTCAAGAGGCTGAACCCTGGGAGAGGCCAAGTTGACTTCTGTGTGAGGAGGAATGTTCTCATATTCTTCCTTTCAGAGGAGTTAGTCAAGCATGACCCGAGTCAATTATTGCACAAGTAAAAGAATCTCTAGTTTTAGTTTATTTGTGGCTTCTTTCATCCCAGAAAGAATTTTATTTGCAGCTTCCTCAGAAGGCATCTTGGCCCACATTGATGTGCTGACATATTATTGTTTAGAGAAAAAGACCCACCAACATACAAAAAAAAATTTTTTTACAAATGTACTGTAATATTCAAGTGTTGTGTCAGAACTGAGACATGATAAAATTGTACTCAGACTTCAGAGTCCCAAAATGCAATTTTGCACCCCTTGTTATATTGTAACAGGGTGACCATTATGTTTAGAGGGGAAAATATCCTTCTCAAATATAAATTTCATTGAATAAATTGGCAAAATTAATATGAATTTTGAGAACAGATTATGTCTAAAGTTTGGGAGTCAGCATTCATCTAAAGAAAGTACTCAAGGGCTTCCCTGGTGGCACAGTGGTCAAGAGTCCGCCTGCCGATGCAGGGGACACGGGTTCGTGCCCCGGTCCGGGAGGATCCCACATGGCCGCGGAGCGGCTGGGCCCGTGAGCCATGGCCGTTGAGCCTGCGCATCCGGAGCCTGTGCTCCACAACGGGAGAGGCCACAGCAGTGAGAGGCCCGCGTACCGCAAAAAGAAAAAAGGAAAAAAAAAAAAAGAAAGTACTCAAGCTTTGAGTTCAGGGAGAAGCTTCTCTCAGGCAGGCTATGTGCTGGAGTGACATTTACGTTTCCTGTTGACCTCACTGTCACCTTGAGAAAATTTGCCAGGAAGGAACGGAAGTCCTGCGTTTCTAATCTACTCATCCCTGCCATTAGATGGGACTGTATTTCAGCAAGAACACTGGAATCGATGTGTTCTACTTAAAAATCTTTGGGGGAACAGAAAAATTTTAATCTCCTTAAAAGTCTGTTCCCACATTTATCAGGTTGTAACAGTATCTGTTACAGGAGGTTCTGTATAATAGAAAAGATATGGTTGCATGGCTGCATTGTATTCTCAGCTGGAAAAAAAAAAAGCATACTTATTTACTTCAGACATTAGGCTAACCCAAGAATATCGTAATACAAGTTATACAAGTATCATTTTTTCCTGAGAAATCAGATGATTCCTAGAGATCAGTATGTTACTTACTTGTACAATTAGAATTTAGATAAATATTTAAGTCCTTTTCAAGATTCTGTTCCCTTATTTAATAACCTTCATTATTAGGAGTCATCTTCATAGGGAATTTAAATCTTTCATCTCTGTTACCCCTTTTTCTTCTCCTGAGTGAATTTAGGGAAAAACTGATCATTATCCTAAGTAATGGGCGGCTTTCTTTCTTCTGTATTCCAAGGTGCATTATTACACAGGACCTTGTTCTCATAAGATCAATTTTCTGTTCTTTAAATCATTTTGGTTACATGGGTTATAGAACCTAGATCCTTTGCTTAATCTAGCCATGACAACATGGGAAAGTGAGCCACAACGTTGAGAGTAATTTTTCCCAGTGGGACCACAGTAGTATACCATTCTTATCAGATTTGGTGAAGGTTTGGTAGAGCATTCAGAAAGCTTTAAGGCAAATTGAATTTGTTTATTACGAAGATTCCTCCCCCCCATCATAACATCAACAACAAAAAAATTGTTTTTCAGTTTTTAAAGGCTTCCAAATAATAAATGTTTTCCATGTAACTTTCAGGCATAGTTTATTAAAATAGCCTTTACTTTTCAAAAAAGATTAGGTGATCTGATAGTTTAAAATATCAAAGGGAATTTAGGCATTGTTAGTAAATCAGTAAATAGTTCTGAAGTTACAAGGGGATTCCTTTGCTCCTTCAAAAAAATGAAAAATGTCTATGGTGAAATTAACCCTTATATTAAAAAAAGAAAAAGAACAACTAGTTAAAAGTCCGGAATGTATAAGGGGTATTGTAATGTGAATACTGGTCATGAGACCTTGAACATATTATTTAATTTCTATAACTTTCTTTATATGCAAAATGACTATCTTAGTACCTAAGATACAATATGTGTATAGCATGTGGTACCTGGCACAAAGTAACACTGTATTTATATTTACTTGTATTGCTTATTTATCGGCATCTACATTGTTACTTTAAAAAGACAGTGATGCTGACTGAGGTGTCCACACCCAGGCCCAGTGCCCATGAGAGTGAGGCCACAGGGGATTTCCACTCAAGGACACCTTGACACTCTCTGAAACTCATTCTTTCTGATGATGACAGCATTTGTTTCTTAACATATTGTTGTGTCTGTCTATCCATGTGTATGTATATCTCTGCATCACCTTCTGTTTTTCATAAACTATTTTGTAGAACTTCAGAAACCGAAAAAAAAAAGTATAGAGATCATCCAATTCAATCTCCACAGGTACAGATGTGAAAAACAGGTCTACATACAATGACCTTGTTTATTCATTACAGAAATACGAGTGTAAAAACATACTTGGGATTATAAGCATAGTCCATATTAATTCAGAGGAATTGATAAAATAATAGAAAACTCAAAGAAGGAAATTAAATTGCCTGTAAACCTACTACAGAGAGATAACAATCAATGTTTTCATATCTCTACATCCAATCTTTTGTTTATAGTGTATACACATACAAACACACACACAGGGTAAGAAAATTAGCATTATCCTATACATATTTTTGCCACCTGTTTTTCTTATAATATATCCAACACGTTTTTCCTACACTGCTAAATACCTGTGTAAATGTGGTCGTTAATAGCTGCAACAAATTCGTTTGTTTCACAATTTGTGTAATCTGTTTTCAGCACTGGTTTGTCATGTAGGTTGCTTTTCATATTAATTGTCAGTAAAACAGCAGTGCTAAACATCCTTGCTTTTGAATTTTTACTCATATCTAATCCATAAAAAATGAATATGTAACCATGGAATGTTAATGAATTTTTATGTATTTTGACAGATTGCTTTCTGTAAGGGTTGTACCAATCTACTCCCCCACCAGCATCATATCAGATATCCCATTTCCCCAAATGCTCTCAGACACTACTACCATTTGTTAAACTTCGCAAATTTGATAAGCAGAACGTGATATTTCATTGTCGCTCTAATATTCTTTTGATTACCAGAAAGTTCTAACGTTGTCATATATTCATAGGTCATGTGTAATTGCCATAATTTCTTGTTAAGTAGCTCTGCTAAGTAATTCTTTCTCAGCCTCAGCTCACGGCCCTCCATATTTTTTTCTGCAGTGTGCAGAGGCCTTCCTGGGTAAACCTACAGTGCTCTCTAGTACTGTTCTACTTGTTTGTTTCTCTCTCCTCCCGTTTAACGTTTTGAATTTTGATCTTAATCTCCACAATGCTGACCTTCCCCATCATCCCTCACCTTTTTCTTCACCCTCTGAGCTTGATGAGCATAACATTTCCAGCTAGAAACCCAGAAAATCTGTTCATGCCTCCACGGTCCGTTTATTTGGAAACTTAAGGCTATGTCATTTCAGTAATGTGAAAGTTACTTAAACACACACACGCAGAATTCTTGTACTAGAAACTAATCTGGAAAGCAGCTGACCTAACTTGAAATGGTTCTACTACAAGTTATGATAATGGCAATTTCTGAATCCCTTAGAATACTCCCCTTTTTTCTTCTCACCAGCATGCATTATCTGGTTCTTTCTTAACACCAATCCCTTTCTCATCAGCATCT